TAACCAGGTATCGTGGTGTACACCTGTAATCCCAGCTACTCAGGAGCCCAAGGCAGGAGAATCGCTTGAACCTGGGAGACAGAGGTTGCAGTGAGCCGAGATAGTGCCATTGCCCTCCAGCCTGGGCAACACTCAGTCTCCAAAAAAAGGGAGGGAGAAATTCTAGATATCTGCATATCTGCATTTTCTAAAGAGTCAGATACAAATGGGAGGGGGAGAGGGACCTCATGTGCTGTTCATTCATACCTGAAGGGGGAAATGCGTTACATATGTCCAAGTCACATTTTTAAAATTTATTTTTATTTTTTTTGAGATGGAATCTTGCTCTTGTTGCCTAGGCTGGAGTGCAATGGTGTGATCTCGGCTCACTGCAACCTCTGCTTCCTGGGTTCAGGCGAATCTTCTGCCTCAGCCTCTCAAGTAGCTGGAATTACAGGCACCTGCCACCATGCCTGGCTCATTTTTGTATTTTTAGTAGAGACAGGGTTTCACTGTGTTGGCCAGACTGGTTTCAAACTTGCTGACCTCATGATATGCCAGCCTCAGCCTCCCAAAGTGCTGGGATTACAGGCGTGAGCCACCATGGCCGGCTCACATCACATTTCTAATGGTACTTCATCAGTTTGCACATTCTTTTGTAGTGTAGTCTTACAAAGCAGAGTCTGAAAAATACGAACTGGTAACCCATTTTGTTTGTGTTGGTATTGCAGATTGATTTACTTTTACAATCTATTTCCAGGGGTGAGCCAAAAACCTGGTATGGAGTACCAGGGTATGCTGCTGAGCAACTAGAAAACGTAATGAAGAAACTAGCTCCAGAGCTCTTTGTGTCGCAGCCGGATCTCCTCCATCAGCTTGTGACCATCATGAACCCCAACACCCTGATGACTCATGAAGTGCCTGTATGTTCTGGGTTAATCCTCCTGCCACTCAAGCTTAATTCACCACTTCTCTTTTTCCCTTTTATTCACTTTCTTATGATGTTGATTTGGTTCTGTATTTCCATACAATGACTTGGTAGCAGAAACAGCTGTTTTGTTGTGACACTGTATATTTACTCAGTGGGACTGGATCCTCAGATACCATAAACACTAATTTGTTGCAGCTAATAACTAGATTGCCAAACAGCCTGGCATTGCAAGTAATAATTACAATTCATTGGTTTTAATACATTTGTAAGTGAAAATTTATTTCAAGGACTTGAGTTTGTATTTTAGGGTTCCAGTCTAGATGGAAAAGTCTAGAGGTTGCTAAATGAAATGGCAACTATACGGTTGTGGGACACCTAACAACAGGGATACGTTCTCGGAAATGCATTGTTAGGTGATTTCATTGTCATGTGAACTTCACAGAGTGTACTTACATAAATCTAGATGTAGTTACTTACACACCTAAGCTATATGGTATAGCCTCTTGCTGTTGGGCTACAAACCTGTATAGCATGTTACTGTACTGAATACCTTAAATAGTTGTAACATAAATAGTAACTATATTTAAATGTATCTAAACATAGAAAGGTACAGTAAAAATAAGAAAATAAAGTATTATAATCTTTTTTTTTGTTGTTTTTTTGAGACTGAGAATACAATGGCACCATCTTGGCTCACTGCAACCTCTGCCTCCTGGGTTCAAGAGATTCTCTTGCTGCAGGCTCCCGAGTAGCTGAGACTGTAGGCATGTGCCATCACACCCAGCTAATTTTTGTATTTTTAGTAAAGACGGGGTTTCACCATGTTGGCCAGGATGGTCTTGATATCTTGACCTCACGATCTACCTGCCTCAGCCTCCCAAAGTGTTGGGATTACAGGCATGAGCCACCACGCCTGGCCTTATAATCTTATGGACCACCATTGATATATGGTCTGTCTGTGACCAAAATGTTGTTACGTGGTGCACGACTATACTGGCTTCCTTTTGGAGAATACTCCAGAGATATTTGGGAGGCTACATTGAAACGAATGAAGAGGGATGGGCACGGTGGCTCACACCTATAATCCCAGCACTTCGGGGCCAAGGTGGGTAGATCACAAGGTCAGGAGATGGAGACAGACCACCCTGGCTAACACAGTTGAAACCCTGCCTCTACTAAAAATAGAAAAAAATTAGCAGGGCATGGTGGCACGTACCTGTAGTCCCAGCTACTTGGGAGGCTGAGGCAGGAGAATGACTTGAACTTGGGAAGCGGAGGTTGCAGTGAGCCGAGATTGCAACACTGTACTCTCAGCTTGGGCGACAGAGTGAGACTCCGTCTCAAAAAAAAAAGGTATGAAGAGTCTATCTTAGTTAAATAAAATGTAAATGATACATTTACAATGTTAAAGTGAATTCTTGAACTTATGACCTAAATTTTATGTTTTTGGGTTCATAGGCTAGGCACTGGAGACAACTGAAAGGACTTTTATTTGAGACATTATAAATTATGCATGGACTGTAGCTTAGAAAATAATCACCAATAAGCACCATAATCCCACCATCTCCTCATAGTTGGTTTTTTTCTCATTGGTACTTTTCTTTCCTTATGTTGACTGGTCTTTCCAATTTGTTAGTAGATTGCTTTGAGACCTGACCCTCGTTCTTTAATAATTGAACAAACCCTCTGGGGTTAGATTCTGGACCTACAGAGATAGGTGAATGAATTCCTTGTGCATTTAGGGATTCATAATCAAAGGTAAAAGATAATGTTTATGCACATAATGGAAGGGGGGTTTGGTTTGACAGTGGTGCCAACTATGAGACTGATCTAATAACTCTACTGAGAATCAGAAAGGGCACATAAATGAGATGACATCTGTAGTAGGAGCTGTAACTCTGATAAATTATCACATGTTTGGCAGAGTCGGGGAAGGAAGAGGTATTCCAGGTACAAGAGATGGTGTTCCTGTGATGGGTAGTAGTCTTTAAACAGAACCCTGAAGACTGTATTACCACATAGATGGCTGGGCTCTACCCCCAGAATTTCCGATTCTGTTATTTTATTAGTCTGAGTGGGGCTTGAGGATTTACATTTCCAACAAGTTCCTAGTGGGTATTGATGCCCTTGTTCTAGGGGACCATATGCTGGGGAAGCATTAGTGTAGACATATAGAGGCTTGAAAAGGAATCTAATATTATTATATAATAATAAGCTCAGTAGAACAATTTGCGTGCCTAGAGCAATATAGGTACTTGTGGGGTGATGGAGGTGGTAGGAAGAAGGGAATGATGGGAGCTAAGTTTGAGGTCAAAAATGAGGAAGAGTTCTGTATGTTATGAGATTCTTGAAATAGAGTGGGATTTCTTTAATTGGTGGTAGAAGGTACTATTTGGGGGATAATAATAATATATTAGGATATTCTTAATTATAGCTCTATTTAAAAGTTGTACCTGATGGCTGATTAGGAGCAGCTCTGGATTGCAGCTCCCAGCGAGAGTGCAGAGGCCACTGCAGGTGATCCCCAGGCAAGCAGGGCCTGGAGTAGATCTCCAGCAGTCCTACAGCAGAGGGGCCTGACTGTTGGAAAACTAAGAAACAGAAAGAAATAACTTCATCATCAACAAATTGGACGTCCACTCAGAGACCCCATCTGAAAGTCACCAACTACAAAAACCACAGGTAAATAAATCCACAAAGATGGGAACAAACCAGCACAAAAAGGTTGAAAACACCCAAAACCAGAATGCCTCTCCTCCTCCAAGGGATCACAACTCCTCACCAGCAAGGGAACAAGCCTGGATGGAGAATGAATCTGATGAATTGACAGAAACAGACTTCAGAAGATGGGTAATAAGAAACTTCTGAGCTAAAAGAACATGTTCTAACCCAATGCAAAGACACTAAGAACCTTGAAAAAACGTCTGACAAAATGCTAACGAGAATAAACAGCTTAGGAATAAAAATGAATAGATGGAGCTGAAAAACACAAGAACTTCGCGAAGCATACACAAGTTTCAATAGCTGAATTGACCAAGCAGAAGAATATCAGAGGTTGAAGATCAACTCAATGAAATAAAACGAGAAGGCAAGAATAGAGAAAAAAGGGTAAAAAGGAATGAACAAAGTCTCCAAGAAATGTGGGACTATGTGAAAAGACCTAATCTACGTTTGATAGGTGTACCAGGATATGACAAAGAGAATGAATCCAAGCTGGAAAATACTCTTCAGGATATTATCCAGGAAACTTCCCCAACCTAGCAAGGCAGGCCAATATTCAAGTCCGGGAAATACAGAGAACACCACAAAGATATTCCTCAAGAAGAGCAACCCCAAGGCACATAATCATCAGATTCACCAGGGTTGAAATGAAGGAGAAAATGCTAAGGGCAGCCAGAGAGAAAGATCGGGTTACCCACAAAGGAAAGCCCATCAGACTCACAGCGGATCTCCTGGCAGAAACCCCTACAAGCTGAAGAGAGTGGGGCCAATATTCAACATCTTGAAAGAAAAGAACTTTCAACCTGGAATTTCATATCCAGCCAAACTAAGTTTCATAAGCAAAGGAGAAATAAAATCCTTTACAAACAAGCAATTACTCAGATATTTATTCACCACCAGGCCTGCTTTACAAGAGCTCCTGAAAGAAGCAATAAACATAGAAAGGATCAACCACTCCAAAACATACCAAATGGTAAAGAGCATCAACACAATGAAGAAACTGCATCAACTAATGGGCAAAAGAACCAGCTAGCATCAAAATGGCAGGATCAAATTCACACATAACAGTATTAACCCTAAATGTAAATGGGCTAAAGGCCCCAATCAAAAGACACAGACTGGCAAAGTGGATAAAAAGCCAAAACTCATTAGTGTGCTGTATCCAGGAAACCCATCTCACATGCAAGGATACACATAGGCTCAAAATAAAGGGATGGAGGAAGATTTACCAAGGAAATGGAGAGCAAAAAAAAAAGCGGAAGTTGCAATGCTAGTCTCTGATAAAATAGACTTTACACCAACAAAGATCAAAAGAGGCAAAGAAGGCCATTACATAATGGTAAAAGGATCAATGCAACAAGAAGAGCTAATGATCCTAAATATATACGCACCCAATACAAGAGCACCCAGATACATAAAGCAAGTTCTTAATGACCTACAAAGAGACTTAGCCTCCCACACAATAATAGTGGGAGACTTTAACACTCCACTGTCAATATTGGACAGATCAATGAGACAGAAAATTAACAAGTATATCCAGGACTTGAACTCAGACCTGGACCAAGCGAACCTAATAGACATTTACAGAACTCTCCACCCCAAATCCACAGAATATGCATTTTTCTAAGCACCACATCACACCTACTCTAAGATTGACCACATAATCGGAAGTAAACCACTCCTCAGTAAATGCAAAAGAACAGAAATCATAACAAATAGTCTCTCAGACCACAGTGCAATCGAGGTAGAACTCAGAATTCAGAAACTTAACCACACAGCTTCATGGAAACTGAACAACTGGCTCTTGAATGTTGACTAGGTGAACAATGAAATGAAGGCAGAAATAAAGATGTTCTTTGAAACCAACAAGAACGAAGACACAACATACCAGAATCTCTGGGACACATTTAAAGCAGTGTCTAGAGGAAAATATAAAAGCAAGAAATGCCCAAATGAGAAGCAAGGAAAGATCTAAAATCGACACCCTATCGTCAAAATTGAAAGAGCTAGAGGAGCAAGATCAAAAAAACTCAAAACCTAGCAGAAAATAAGAAATAACTAAGATCAGAGCTGAACTGAAGGAGATAGAGACACAAAAAACCCTTCAAAAAATCAATAAATCCAGGAGCTGGTTTTTTGAAAAGATCAATAAAATAGACCACTAGCCAGATTAATAAAAAATAGAATAATCAAATAGATGCAATAAAAAACGATAAAGGGGATATCACCACAGATACCACAGAAATTCAAACCATCATCAGAGATTATGACAAACAACTCTATGCACATAAACTAGTAAACCTGGAAGAAATGGATAAATTCCTGGACACTTGTACCCTCCCAAGCCTAAACCAGGAAGAAGTCAAAACCCTGAATAGACCAATAACAAGGGCTAAGGTTGAGGCCACAATTAATAGCCTACCAATCAAAAAAAGCCTAGGTCCAGATGGGTTCACAGCCAAATTCTGCCAGACATACAAAGAGAAGCTGATACCATTCCTTCTGAAACTATTCCAAACAATCCAAAAAGAGGGAATCCTTCCCAACTCATTTTATGAGACCAACATCATCCTGATACCAAAACCCGGCAGAGACTCAGCGAGAAAAGAAAACTTGAGGCCAATATCCATGATGAACATAGATGCGAAAATATTCAATAAAATACTGGCGAACCGATTGCAACAGCACATCAAAAAGCTTATCCACCATGATCAAGTAGGCTTCATCCCAGGGATGCAAGGCTGGTTCAACATACACAAGTCTATAAACATAATTCACCACATAAACAGAACCAAAGACAAAAACCACGATTATCTCAATTGATGCAGAGAAGGCCTTTGACAAAATTCAACAGCCCTTTATGCTAAAAACTCTCAATAAACTAGGTATTGATGAAACGTATCTCAAAATAATAAAAACGATTTACAACAAACCCACAGCCAATATCATACTGAATGGGCAAAAACTGGAAACATTCCCTTTGAAATGGGGCACTAGACAAAGATCCCCTCTCTCTCCACTCCTATTCAATATAGCATTGGAAGTTCTAGCCAGAGTAATCAGGCAAGAAAAAGAAATAAAGGGTATTCAGTTAGGAAAGGAGGAGTCAAATTGTCTCTATTTGCAGACGACATGATTGTATGTTTAGAAGACCCCATCGTCTCAGCCCAAAATCTCCTGAAACTGATAAGCAACGTCATCAAAGTCTCAGGATACAAAATCAATGTGCAAAAATCACAAGCATTCCTATACACCAATAACAGACTTAAAGAGAGCCAAATCAAGAACGAACTGCTATTCACAATTGCTACAAGGGGAATAAAATACCTAGGAATACAACTAACAAAGGATGTAAAGGACCTCTTCAAGGAGAACTACAAACCACTGCTCAATGAAATAAGAGAGGACACAAACAGATGGAGAAACATTCCATGCTCATGGTTAGGAAGAATCAATTTCGTGAAAATGGCCATCTGCCCAAAGTAATTTACAGATTCAACGCTGTCCCCATCAAGCTACCAATGACCTTCTTCACAGAACTGGAAAAAGCCACCTTAAACCTCATATGAAACCAAAAGAGAGCCTGCATAGCCAAGTCAATTCTAAGCAAAAAGAACAAAGCTGGAGGCCTCACACTATCTGACTTCAAACTATACTGCAAGGCTACAGTAATCAAAACAGCATGGTACTGGTACCAAAACAGAGATATAGACCAATGGAACAGAACAGAGGCCTCGGAGGCAACACAATATATCTATAACCATCTGATCTTTGACAAACCTGACAAAAACAAGCAATGGGGAAAGGATTCCCTGTTTAATAAATGGTGTTGGGAAAACTGGCTAGCCATGTGCAGAAAGCAGAAACTG